TCAGCCGCTGTGCTGCACAAATTGAAAAAAAAAGGGTTAGTTTAACAACCAGGCATTGTGTGAATGCAACTGGGGATGTCTGTCCCTGCATTCTGGTTGCGGAAGTGTATCAATAGCAGGATTCTGTTAAGATTGGATTATTGGTAATCCTTGACTTTTGAGCACAACTGAGCCCAAGATTTCTGCTGCTAAGCAAGACTCAGTTGTTCAGTGAGTTTTGTCCCATTTTGCCACCTTTCCGGCCACTGTCATTAAGTGAATCATTGCCGTTGCCAAGCTAGTTGCACAGTTGTAGAATAGAATAGAATAACAGAGTTGGAAGGGACCTTGGAGGTCTTCTAGTCCAACCCCCTGCCTAGGCAGTAAACCCTACAGCACTTGTAAAGTGAATCCGGCTTCCCCATTGACTTTGCTGGCTATAAAAGAGAGTCGCTTGAACCCTGGGTCACCGCAACTGTCATAAATATGAGTCAGCTGCCAAGCCCCTGAATTTTGACCATGTGATCGTGGGGATGCTGCAACAGTCGTAAGTGTGAAAAACGGCCATAAGTCACTTGTCAGTGTCATTGCTGCTTTGAATGGCCACTAAATGAATGGTTGTAAGTCAAGGATACCCATCTGTGTTCAGAGTATCGCAACGTAAATTCAGCACCAGAAAAGTAAACAAAGATGGCTGAGACTACATTTCACTTCTTTATAAACACATAAAGTAAATTTTACAATACCAGTTGTAGATTTCTCCACCATGAAGCAAACTCAAACAGAAGCAGACATGTTACAGGTTCAGAGCAGAACAGCAACTCAGCTTCAGCTCAGAAACAGACATCAGTTTCACTTTAGTTCAGCAGACAAGCAAGTTAGTTTCTCTTTCACTTTAGAGCTGAGCACAGAACAGAGATAAACCATGCCCAGATTGTCTAAGTTTCAGCCCTCAATTCATGTGATGACCCAAAGGGGCGTGCCACAAAGGCAACACAGTCACGTAAGCAAGAAAAGTCCCTTTAATACCTCCAACTTGGCCCCCAATGTCCAGTTACCTTCGGCGGGAGAAAAAACTCTCCCAGGAACAGTCTTTAAGTGGAGGAAATTCAGTTTGAAAACAAAGTACAAACAGACTGTAACTAAAAATCCACACAAACCACACTGCAGTAATTAACTGGACAGGGCAGGAGAAGGAATTGCAGACTTGAAAGGCCAACAAACACACACAGTTGGAAAGACGCCAGGAACCCAGATAAGCCACGACGATACAAGATAAATTCATGATTTGCTCCCAACAACTTTGCTGTGCGTAGCTTCCCTTTTAAAACACTGTGTTCCCAGCTGCAGCTAATGAAGGGAATCAGGTCCCTTTCCTCCCCTGTAAGCCCGTTTCTCCCTGCATGCCCTAGGATGAAGAGGGGGTGGGCCTGGGTCTTCCTCCGAATTCCCTCTCCCCTGCTCTACCTTTCCCCTGTTCTGCCCAGCCAGACGTTGCCCTTCCCCAGTTTCTTCCACAGCCAACGGAGCCACACTCCCGCTCCCTGTCAGCTGCTCGGCCTCCCCCTCCGAATCAGATTCTGACACGGGGCATGACAGTTCAGCTCTCATTGGCTGACCTTGTTAACTAAGCTCTATTCCAGTTCATGAGTATACTGCGACAATCTGAAATCTAAGCTTGAACCCGTCTCCCTCTTCTTCTCTCTCCAGATGTGACCTGCAGCTGCCCAAAGAGATTCCTACCCAGTCTCAGAAGCTGTGCAGAGCCTCTGTCCTCTGGCTGCTCTTGACCACGACGTTTGCGGTGCTGGTGTGGTTGCTGTGCCAGCCCTCTTTCCTTCCCCTCTCCCAGCCCCGCTGCCTCCAGGCCAACGGCTTCGCCAAATCCTTCCACCTCATGCTAAACTACGAGGGTCCACCCCCCACGTAGAGGATGTGGGAGAACGGGGACACCGCAACCGACCAAGGTCGAGAGTCCTGTGTAGGGGAAACTGGGCTGCTAGGAGTTGGACCGACTTCTTCTGGACTTCCAAGAAGTTGGGTTCCTTGTGCCCACATTTGCTCAGATCAGCAGATCCAGAAGATCCCTCCAGCTACGGGAAGATAGCTTGGATTTAGGTCTGGTGAACCACCTTGGTCCCAGTGCAACGATGGGGTGGACTGTTCAGCAAAGTAAGATCATCCATCCGGGCAAAGAGGCAGGACATCAACCTGTGGCCCTGACTGCTCAGGTGGCATCTACTGACCTTTGGAGAAAGAAGCTTGTATGAAGCTCCAGCAAGATCTTCTCTGCTGCACTGAGCAGATTTCTCAAGAGATCTATTTTGGGTGGGTGGGGGTACCGAATCTTGAATCGCTTCCAGATTTGGATTATGGGTACTTTTGTACATGGGCTACCTGTTTTGTACCTTTCGCACCTGCTATTTTCTAATAAAAAAGGGAGAAAGGTGGTTGGTTGCAGCAGGTAGATGATGTGATCCAAGCTTGATCCTCAAAACAAGACCGCCCCTTACCAGAAACCTCCGAGTACCTGAGAGATCCTGAAGATGCGAGGATGGAGTTTGTCAACCATGGCAACTTTAAGACGAGTGGACTTCAACTCCCAGAATCCCCCAGCGATTCTCAGAATTCTGGGAAATGGAGTCCAGACATCTTTTAGAGTTCATTAGCGGCTGGCTGAGGAATTCTGGGAATTACAGTCCACGCATTTTCCAGTTCAAGGGCATGTTGACTGGGGAATTCTTGGGAGATGAAGTCTAGTTATCTTTAAAGCTCACTAGAGTACTGAACTTTAAGAGAACTGGGGAATTCTGGGAGATAGCCCAGCTATCTTTAAAGTTCATTAACATACTGGCCAGGGAATTCTGGGAGTTGCAATCCGCACATCTTAAAAAAGTTGTCAAGTTTGAGGAACAGTCTATTATGGAAACTGACTACCGTGCCTTTATTCATCCAAAATATGTGGCAGCGAAGAGGATAGAAGAATGTGGAGTATTGACAGTAATATGTTTATCTACCATCGATCCAAGGAATCACATTCTCCAGCTTCTCATATTCTGATTCATGTGGCTTTTTAGCAAAGTGCATGATAAAAATTTAGCTTAAAAGTTCATTTAATGCAAGGGTAGGGAGCTATGGCCACTTTGTGACCTTTGGACTTCAACTCCCAGAATTCCTCGCTCAGGAATTCTGGGAGTTGAAGTCCACAGGTCTTAAAGGGGCCCTAGTTCCCCCATTCCTGATTTCATGAATTCCCAGCTAAGACCTCTCAGCAAAAGCTGAACGAGATAAAAAGACGCGTACATGGATTAGTGGGATAGTGGTTTATTTTAAAAATAGTACTGCATTAAACACTCATGGCTTTCTCTCTCCAAAGACATATTCACAATTTCAAAATAAATTAATTAGTCATCTTCCCCCACCTTCACCAGTCCACCCCATTCTTCAGATTGGATCTCCAAGGGAAAGAAAGAAAAAAAAGTGACTGGATGCTTCCCAACAGGGTCACCGCAGTGCAGAGAAATTCAGAAATTGGGAAGGGGAAGAAACTGGAAGGCGCTTTTGGGTGGGTGGACAAGACCAGGCAATCTTTGTTTCTTTGGGCCCCCAAATCTCTTGGGAGGCAGGAAGGGACCGAAGCTGGAGACTTAGAAGATGCTTTGGATGAGAGATGAAAAGAAAAAAAAAGGACCTTTTCCAGAGGTCTCCAAACTTGGTCAACTTTAAGACTGGTGGGACTTCAACTCCCAGAATTCTCCAGCCAGCATAGCTTACACTCTTGTGTTCCCTTCCTCTGCAATCTCTCCTCTTTGGGGGATAAGAGAAAAAGAAACAGACATGGCTGGCTGGGGAATTCTGGGAGTTGAAGTCCACACGTCTTAAAGTGGCCAAGTTTGGGGACCCTTGCATTGCCCCCAAAAGCAAGGATGAAACAGAAGTTTTCTGCTGTGTCACATTAGTTAATTGATCAGGTCTCAAGGTCTTCTGCGTGGCACCCATGCCATGTTGAGGGCCAACACAACCGCCCCAAAGGAGTCACAATCCAGCCAGTGAATACTGAGTGCCAACTATCCACGCGGGAATTTTTAATATGGGGGGGGGGGGGTTAACCTCGGCAGCTCTGGCACTAAACCTGCTGTTGGTCCCCGTTCAAGAATGTTTCTGGGGCTGAACGCTGCCAAACCTTGGCCCAAACCACACCCTCACAGCTGTATAATCCAGGGGTTGTTAGCGTCTTTCTTGCTGGCATCTGCAAATGCAGAAAGGCCCAATTTCTCCCTTGCAAAACGACACCCCCCCCCCCCCCCCCCCCCCCCCCCCCCCCCCCCCCCCCGAATGGACAAGAGGCATTCTATCCATCTCCCACCCACCTGCAGGCATAAAACCTCCCTCCCTCCTTCCTACCATCATGCAGGCAACTATGGACAGAGACCACGGTTTGTTCCTGATCAGCATCCAAGTCTGTTGCAGAGAGCCTTGCGTTTGGAACTCAGCGGGGGATGGGGGCTCTCTTTCTGCCCTGGATTCGCACTCGGACCTGACCCAGCCCTACCCTCCACATGAAGAACCTGCCTTGGGCAGCTCCGGAGGCTGCCGGGAACAAATGCCAGATGTTCACCCAACTGCAGGAAAAAAATACATCTGTGTTTGTAAAACCAGGCTGGGAGAGGAATTCTGCCCTTCTCCGTCCTCCTCTCCAGCAGGAGGTGGGTCAGCCGTTCTTGTCCGGACAAAATTCCAGGATTAGAAATGCAGAAAGTAATAAAATAATTATTTTATAACCATTTACAAATATATATATATATATATATGTATATATATATACGTATAGGAGTGTGTGTGTGTGTGCTTGTGTGTTTTTGTATGTGTGCACGCTCATGTATATGTATACATATATGGATAAAAACCATATACATATATTTTAAAAAAAAAAACACCGGTTGGAAAAAGAAAGGAAAGGAAAAAAAAAAGGAAGAAAAGGAGAGCGGGCTTCCCTGACGCATCCTTTTGATCAAAACCCGTCAGCGAGAGCGGTCCAAGCGACTGGCCAGGATGCCAATTTTATTCCATCTTGGACATTTCAAACTTTGTGGTCACGATTTCCTAAGGCGGAGAGAAAAAGAAAAGGAGAAATAATTAGCTTTTAATGCTTTTCAGCCGGGTGGGCCCTTCCTGAATTTCGCCTTGATCACAAGGGGTCGGCTGTGTCCTTCCGCTGTTTTCGATGGCCTCCCTTTTAAAGGTCCTCTCAACGCTTGAAAAAGAATATTTCTCAAACGCGGCTGCTTTAAAATGGGGGGGGGGACTTCGACTCCCAGAATTCTCCAGCCGGGATGCTCACAAACCAGAGTCATTGACTGGGATGGAGGGGCTACAGAAATTAAACAAATAACTACGTAAATGTGGGGTTTGGGAGCAAAGGGTGAAAAATGGCAGGTATACCTCGTCGGAGTCCAGCAGTGGTGGCAACATGCTGGAAGAGAAAGGAGAGAGAATGGCGGTTACAAACACGCAGGGATAACTTGGGGGTGGCAGGGAATAAAATTGTAGAAATTCTAAGTTTTTATGGCGTGGATTAACTTTCAGTTGGACTGAAATTCGGAGAGGTTTTTGCCGTGGTCCAAAAACAGCCAAGAAAGACCCCAAGTCTCTTCTAAACTTTTTGATTAAAATGCAGGAATGGAAACATTTACCTAATAATCCCTCTTCAAGGGTGCAATCCTTTACTACAACCCTACAACAGATAGGAGCCTGAAGACCCCAAAGCAAGGAAAAATACGGTAAACAACAACAACAAAAAGACTTACACATCAGCCATGGAAGAGGGAATGTTTTCTTCAACCCATTTCAAGTCTTCGTCCTGCATCTGGAAAGACGACAAGGGGAAAGAACTTAAGCTCGTAATGGGGAGGAGGAGGAGGAGGAGGAAGAAGAGGAGGAGGAGGAGGAGGAGGGAGAAAAGGAAGAGGGGGAGAAAGAAGAGGAGGAGGAGAAAGAGGAGGAGTGGGAAGAAGAAAAACAGAAGGAGAAAGAAGAAGAGGAGAAAGAGGAGAAGGAGAAACTCCATCCAAAATTCTTACCACTCGGTTGCCTTTTAGGATCCCGTTGACTTCTGGTTTCCCACCCCTCATCTTCATCCCTGGGGCAAAAGAGAAGGAGAGAAATAGCAAAATAGAGTGTGAAAAAAAAAAAAGGGGGTGGGGGGAGTAAGTCCAACCCTCCCCTCTTCCAGATGCAACACGCCAGCAGCTCCACCTAGAACCAGCACAGGTGGGTGATATTTTTCTTTGGCACAGAAGTCTCCCGCAAGGGGATCCCAAGAGATCATCCGGAATGCATGGGGGGGGGGCGGGAGAGCAAGGGGGCACACTTACAGGCGTGCAAGCGCACACCGACCGCTTGAGGAAAGGCAGGCCAGGCCAGATTGCCAGTCTGGGGGGTTCAGGAACCAGAGTCGGGGGTCCTGGGGCAGAAGAGACCGCCAGCCGAGGCTTACCGAAGACTTCGTTGACCACCTGCTCCTCTTCCTCTTCCTCCTGCTCGCTGCCCTCGTCCACCAGAGGCATGAAGGCGTATCTGTGGGGGGCAGGAAGGGGTGGGGGCGTGAGATGGGGCTGAGGTCTCACCCGTGGGAAACCCGCCCCCTCCCCCTCGCTTGAAGGGGACGCTCCCATCTCCTCTCAAGGGGGAAGTTGCTTTTCTCCTTCTCCTCCTTCTTCCCTTGAGGGGAGAATGAGAGCATGGAGGCCCAGTGGGCAAAGGGATGCTGTTGTGGTTTGCCGGCAGCAGGTGTGGGATGGCTGAGGTCTCGGAGAGCGAGGACTCAGGTGAGGGGCCTGCGTGTGATGCAGGGGTGGGGCCAGGACCCTCAGGGAGTGGAGTGCTGCCTTCGGAGATTGTGGAGTCTGGCAGCAGTGAGGAAGAGGCCCCCGAGGAGCCTGTGCCCAGTGCAAAGCGTGTGCGCAGGGCTGCTCCAAGGAAAGAGCAGCTGCAGCAGCACAGGCGACTCGGGAGTAAGGCTGCAAGATAATGGCCCCTCCCTTAAGAGATAAAAGACAGCTGAGAAACCGGAGTTCTTTGCAGGAAGCAAAGAAGCTTTTGCACTCAAGCCTTGTGGACGTTCGGACTATCTTGGTTTGTGTTTGGAGACTCTTTGGGTTTGAAATATTTCTTAGTAACTTTCTCTAGTGTTCTTGGCAGCCTTGCACCACCTTGGCAAGGCTCGTTCTGATCAGAGACAATGAGTTTGAAACAGCCTTTTAACCGTGAGGAATTCGCAGAGAAGCATTAAAAAGGTTTTGCTTTTATCTCTGTTTGTTTCCTTGGAACAAGGTTTGGGCCAGAACAGGGAGGGAGAGAGAGAGAGAGAGAGAGAGAGAGCTGTCCTGGGTTTGAGTTCCTTTGATACCTTTGATTATTGGCAGAGGGTCTCCAGAGGAACATGATCACCAGCAGGATGATGGAAAAGAGGAACCGCCAGAAGGCGTCGTCGATCCAGAGTTCCCGCCAGTCCTGAGAGAGAAGGAACAGGGATGGTCATTTGCGCAAGGAAGCCGAGAAGCCCCAGGCAGACCTCAACTGAACAACTCTTGGTTTACTCACTGCTCAAAATGACAAGGGCATTAGACACTGAAGAATTGGGATTAAGAACAAGAAGGAATAATGTTAATAGTCATGAAAATAAGAATTTATAACAGACTCATTAAGTAAGATAGAACTGTTTATGTAAGATGTAAGTGATTAATAGTTAAGATATGAAAAGAAATCTTATGTGGAGTCTGACAGGGAATAGATATAACCATATGGTGGGGTAGTATTTTTAATGAATTATATATTTTGTTATTCATATATCTAAGATAATGAAGTAATAATATGATACGTTTGAATTTATTGGCCAAGAGAAAATGTACTTGTGTAAAAACGAGAGGTTAGATGGAAGGGAACATATAGAAAATAAAATATAAACAATTGTGGCAAATGTAATAATATTGGGGGAACATAATAGGGGATAATATAAATTAAGATGGAGTTTTTAAATCCTTAAAGAATGGAAATGACAAGCTCACTGAAAGAAAATAAAAAGGCGATTTATGCCCATTTTTCACTCTTACAACCAACCATTGCAGCCTCCCACTTAAATCAAAATCCAGAGACTTTGGCAACTGATTCGTACTTATGACGGTTGCAGTACCCCGGGGTTATTATGGGATCCCCTTTAGCGACCTTCGGACGAGTCAAGTCAATGAGGGGGGGGAGCCAGATTCGTTTAATGACTGTGTTGACTAACTTTAACTGCCGGGATTCACTTAGTGGCCAGGAAAGTTCGTGAAACGGGGGCAACTTAACAACTGTCTCGCTCAGACACAGGAAGTTCGGGCTCGACTGGGGTCGTAAGGTGAGGACTACCTGTATGAATTTTCTTTCTAAAACCCCCAGAACTAGAATAGAATAGTTGGAAGGGATCTTGGAGGTCTTCTAGTCCAGCCCTCTCAACATCTTTTTTTATAGTGTGGTGACCAAAACTGGATGCAGGACTCTAGGTGTGGCCTTACTAAGGCTTTATAGAGTGGTCTTAGTCCCTCCCTTGATCTCAATTGTACCCCTCTGTTAATGCAATTTAGGATTGCATTGGCTTTTTTGGCGGCTGCTGCACACGGCTGGCTCCTATTTAGCTGGTTGTCCACTGAGACTCCAAGATCCCTCTCCCAGTTCCTGCTATTGAGTCCTGGTTTCACCCAGTCTGTATGTGTCCTTTTGGTTTTTCTTGCCTAAGTGTAGGACTTTCCTTTTCTCTACATTGAATTTCATTTTATTAGATAGGGCCCAGTGTTCTAGTCTGTCAAGGTCCATCTGGATCTTGAGCCCATCTTCTTGGGTGTCGGCTATTCCTGCCAGCTTAGTATCATCTGCAAATTTGGTAAGTTCCCCTTCTATTCCCTGCTCTAAGTCGTTCTGCTCTGTTCAAGCAGAACCTATACTACCGTATATCATTTCAGACAAAGGGCAGTCTAGACTATTTTTAAAAGCCTCCAGTGATGGCGCACCCAGAGTTTCTAGTGGCCAGCTGTTCCCCTGGTTAATTGTCTTCACTGTGAGGAAGTTTCTCCTTAATTTCACTTTGCTTCTCTCCTTGGTTAGTTTCCATCCGTTGCTTTCTTGTCCTGCCTTCTGGTGCTTTGGGAAATAAGTCGACCCCCAGTTCTTGGTGGCAGCTCCTCCAACACTGGAATCCTGCTATCATGTCACCCCCTAATTCTTATTTTCTTTAGACTAGCCAAACGTTCTTCCTATGTTTTAGCCTCCAGACTTTTGATCACCTTAGTTGTTCTTCTCTGCACTTTCTCCAAAGTCTCAACATCTTTTTTGTAGTCTGGTGACCAAAATTGTTTGCAGTATTCTCAGGGCAGGAATAATTTCAGAGGTGCAAGGGTCAACTTGTCATTTTTTTAAAAAATTAGTGGGTCTAAAACAGAGGTTCTCCAAAGTTGGCCACTTTAAGACTTGTGGACTTCACCTCCCAGAATTCCCCAGCCAGCCGTGTCTGTTTCTTTTTTTCCTCTCCCCCAAAGAGGAGAGATTGAAGAGGAAGGGATCGCAAGAGAGTAAGCTCTGCTGGCTGGGGAATTCTGGGAGTTGAAGTCCGCACGTCTTAAAGTGGCCAAGGTTTGGAGACCTCTGGTCTAAAAGAAGAACAGAAAGGCTGCCAGCCTGTTTACTCACAGATTGGCAGGTGGCAAGATGGAAGGTCTTTGTAGTCCAGATGATGAAGATCAGGGACGCTGCAGAGAGAGAGACAGAAAATACGTGTTGTGACTGCAGGCGGGAAGCGTCTTCTGGAGACAGCAGGAAGTCTTTGAAATTAAAATTTAAGCGAGGGATTTAATATCCTGCTACCAGCCTATCTGATAAACGCTGGAGGGATTTGGGGTGATAGCAAGGAGTTTGAAAAATAAATAAAATAAACCTGAGCAGAAATAAGATCGCCAAATTGTAATTTTAAAGCTGAGCATTTTTTTTAAAGGACATCGCGATGGTGATCTTATCTGAACTGGAATACAAAGCAAAATCCAACCATTTTCACCTGAGTTCATCCCCACTTTTGCCTCAGCTCCATCTGCGCTTTGCGACGTAACCTTCCTCTTCCCCATTTAATTATTATTTATTTGCATCTTGCCTGTATTTATTTATTTATTTATTACAAATAACTCAAGGGGGCAAACATGTCCCCACGCTGCTTCCTCCTATTTTCCCCACAACCATCCTGTAAGGGAGGTGGGTTGGACTGAGTGAAAGGGCCAGGCCCAAAGTCACCCAGCCGGCCTTTCATGCCTAAGGCAGAACTAGAACTCCCAACCTCCTAGCGATTGTCCAAATTCATCCAGTCGACCTTCATGTTTGAGGGACTAGAACTCCCAACCTCCTGGGGACTTACCCAAAGTCACCCAGCCAGCAGTTTTCACACTCAAGACAGGACTAGAACTCACTGTCTCCCGGTTTCTAGCTTTGATGCCTTAACCACTAGACCAGGGGTCTCCAACCTTGGCCACTTTAAGACTTGTGGACTTCAACTCCCAGAATTCCTCAGCCAGC